CTCTATGTATGTTCATTTAGTTAACCTGTAGGAATTTACTGTACACATACTAGGTACCTAGCCATGTGTTGGATATCGTAAAGAATACAAATCAAGCCTGAATGATCCCTGCCCTTGAGAGTCTAGGGGTGAGGAACAGGGTTGGGGTGTTCGCTAACATGTGAGTCAATCATGTAACAACTCAAGTCAGTAAGTGGGTCAGGAAGAGTAGTAGCAAACAAACTGAACTAAGAATTGCTCCAGCCAAATGATCTAGAGCAAGTCTCTTAACTGTTTCATGTTAAAAAATAAGATCTTAGAGATGTTCAAAATGTCCACCTGTCAGGGCCAAAGTAAAACCAAATCCACTGCCATGGAGTCAATTCTGACTCATAGTAACCCTATTTCAGATTTCTGAGACAATAAACCTTTACTAGAGCAGACAGCCTCATGTTTCTCCTGCAGAACAGCTGATGGGTTTGCATCGCTGATGTTGTGATTAACAGGCTGATGTGTACCCCACAGAACCACCAGGGCTCCTTACGAGCAAAGGACGTTAAATTTTAAGTTTAAGGGGGGCTTCCAAAAGTCCGTGGAAAAATTCCATTATATTTTCGTTGAGTTTTTCCATGAACTTTTTAAAGCCCCCCTTGTGTATATCAATCACTGTTCAGTGAAGAGAAGGGGAGACCAGTGTGCATTGGCAGTAGGCCAAGGAGCCTACCTGGAAGACATGTGGCTCTTGGATGTGGCCTTGAAGGATGGAATGGCTTGGAAAGGTGGAACCAAATGAGCAAAGGCTCAGGCTGGACTGTGATCCAGACTTTGGGTTCCCCTGGCTTCTAATTGGTGTTTACCTGCAGCTACCTTGCTATTCTTATTGCTTTGACTGTTTACCTGGGCCCTTTTTCTCCCACTAAACCAGTATTTACTGACCTTTGTCTGTGTGCTTAGTCAAATTTTTCACCCAGGTATCTTCCAGAAGATATAATACAAGTGAGTCAGGGAGTAACAATATCTTGGAACCATTGCTCAGAGTATACGCTACTTCTCTGCAGCCCCAGAGCTCACAAGGCAGCCCCCATTCCCCGCCGTTTCTCTGCTTGTCTGTTCCTGCCCCAGCTGGAGGCCTGTGGCAGAATACATCGACCAGCAGTTTGAGCAGTATTTCCGAGATGAGAGTGGCCTGAACCGCAAGAACATCCAAGATAACAGGGTGCACTGCTGCCTGTACTTCATCTCACCCTTCGGCCATGGGTACGGTCTGAGCCTGAGGCTCCTGGCACCAACGGGTGCTGCCAAGGGAACAGGCCAAGCATACCAGGGGCAGGGCTGGCACCAGCAGGTGGTCACAGATTCCTGTTCCCCAGGCTCCGGCCATTGGATGTTGAATTCATGAAGGCCCTGCATCAGCGGGTCAACATCGTGCCTATCTTGGCTAAGGCAGACACACTGACACCTCCTGAAGTGGAACACAAGAAACGCAAAGTGAGGGGTGCTGACGGGGGTGGGGAGCAGGTGGGCTTCTAGAAAAGATGGTGTTCTCAGAACTGTGGGCTCCATATGTGTTTGCCAGATCCGGGAGGAGATTGAGCACTTTGGGATCAAGATCTACCAGTTCCCAGATTGTGACTCTGATGAGGATGAGGACTTCAAATCACAGGACCAAGCCCTAAAGGTGGGGCCACCCCGGGGAGGAGCTAAGTTTTTCTGGGCAGGAGAGGGAAGTGGAATTCTACCTAAGAGGTGGGAGAGGACCCTGGCCTCCTAGAGTCAAGCAGAGAGATGAAAATAATGGGAGGAAAGGAACAGGTGAGAACAGGGGTGTTGATACGCCTCCTTCACCTCTTCTAGGAAAGCATCCCATTTGCTGTAATTGGCAGCAATACTGTGGTAGAGGCCAGAGGACGACGAGTTCGGGGCCGGCTCTATCCCTGGGGCATCGTGGAAGGTAAAGCCCTGAGCTTGTGCCTGGGGTTCCTTTTCTCTCAGTGGCTCTCCCCTCCCCATGCCCCTAGCTGACCCCTAGCCTTGCTGTGCAGTGGAAAACCCAGGGCACTGCGACTTTGTGAAGCTGAGGACAATGCTGGTGCGTACCCACATGCAGGACCTGAAAGATGTGACACGGGAGACACACTATGAGAACTACCGGGCACAGTGCATCCAGAGCATGACCCGCATGGTGGTGAAGGAACGGAATCGCAAGTATGGCCAGAAGCCAGGACAGAGCTGGCAGGGGGGATCCCAAGCACAGTCTTGGGTGAGATCAAGCCCTTCCCTTGTTATTCTGCAGGCCCTGAGTTCGATCCGAGCAGGTGCTGTGGTCCCCCCTAGCCTTACCAACCCACTGTCCCCCCGCTTCCCCTTAGCAAACTGACTCGAGAGAGTGGTACCGACTTCCCCATCCCTGCTGGCCCACTAGGGACAGATCCAGAAACTGAGAAGCTGATAAGAGAGAAAGATGAGGAGGTGAGAGCAGGAGGAGGTGCTAGGGGTTGATGGTCTGGGAGATCCCTGCTTGATCATTAACTTTAGCACTGACTGGTTTGGCCATAGAAAAGTCCCTGTCCCTAGTGACTATTTGGGCTGGTGGATGGTTCTGCTCAGTTTCCATTACATCTCAGGGCTACCAAGGCCCTGACTCAAAAGATTAGAGTTTAAGGGCATCCCCCCAACACTATGGGACTTCCCCAAAAGTCTCACTTTGATGCATGTGCCTATTCTAGCTACGGCGGATGCAGGAGATGCTGCACAAAATCCAAAGACAGATGAAGGAGACCCATTAGCTGGCTTTCAGCCCTGGATATTTAAATCTCCTCCTTTTCCTCCTGCCCATGCCGGACCTTCCCAGCACCAACTCTGCTCAGGCCCCTGCAGCTACTGCCACTTCGCCTTACATCCCTGCTGCCTCCCCAGAGACTCAGAGGAAATAAAGTTTAACAAATCTATAAGTGGCTTCTGGTGTGTCTGTCTGTATCTTTACCAGCTCCTGAAGACCAAAAAGATATTGGGACTTAGTTTTTGAAAGGGTCCTGGAAGAAGGTGCTGATTTCTGGATTAGGGAAGGGAGAATGTTTATAATTCAGCCATATTTCCTTTATTTTAACAATCATCTGTCCTTCCTCTGAGGAGCCCTAGTGGTGTAGTAAGTTAAGCATTGGGCTGGAAAGCACAAGGTAAGTGGTTCAAACACATCAAGGGACTTCACAGGAGAAAGATATGGCTTTCTGCTCCTATAAAGATTTACAACCCGTGAAACCCGAGGGAGCAGCTCTACTCTGTCCTATGAGTACCTATGAGTCAGAGTGAACTCTAGTGAGGCCCTGGGTGGTGCTAAAGATAAAACATTCAACTACTAGCCCAAGGGAGTGCAGTGGCTCATAAGGATATGCACTGACTGGACTGTGCACCACAAGGTTGGCAGTTTGAGCTCACCAGAGATAAATGAAGCTTTTTGCTCCCTCAAAGATTTACAGCGTTGGGAACCCTATGCAGGGTCACTATGAGCTGGAACCAACTTGACGGTACGTAACCACAACAGCTACTAGCCCAGAAGACATGCCTGGAGATCTACTTCCGAAAGGTCACAGCCTTGAAAACCCTATGGAGCGCAGTTCTATTCCACACCTCGACTCTAGTCTGAATCTATCTTTTCCACATAGAGTTAACTTCAATTCTACGCAGCCCATTGGTTTTGGATTTGAAGTCTGCCTTTAAGAAAACAGAGGGCATGAACTGCACGCAGCCTCTTGAGCTCCTATTTTCCCTGACGTAGGGCAAGGGATATTAAGAGTTAAGGCCTGAATAGAGCATTCAACAAACTTTGAAGTCTCTGTAACCACCAAACACTATATCTAAGTGCTGGAAATGAGTAAAGTACAATTACTGTCCTGGAGGAGACCAGTTTTTAACAAATACTAAACACCTACCTGGTTGCAGACTTTGTTCTAGACCCCAGAGGTAAAGGAGTGAAGATAGACACCATTTTCGTGGGAACTTAAGTGTAGTGAAAGTTATAGTGCTCTATAAACAGATACGTGAGCACAATTTAGCCCCGGGGCTTTGTACTAGGGCCCTCGGGCTCATCCCAGAGGTGATACTAAAATTCATTTCAGTGTGTAAGACTCCACTGGGAATAATTCAACTTCTTCATTTCGGTTGCATTATGAACATCGTGAGTTCACGGCGCCCTCCAGCGGCCACCCTCTGCCCTGCGGTCTCCTCTGGCTACCCCGAGGAGAGGGAGGAGCAAAGAGCCAGACTAGGAGGCCGCAGCTAGCTAGTTCAGTCTCCGGCGAGACCTCTTAATTCAGGATTGGCCACACCCTGCCAGTGTCGGTTCGCAGCTAAAAAGTGAGGCTTGGAAGAGCCAGTCTAGACGCAGGAATCTCAGCGCCGCCAGTAAGGGAAGACCGAGGCAGAGGCTCAGGTCCTACCCTATTCTTTCTCCTAGCTTGAGCGGCCATTTTTCCCGTGCCAGTTTTGGGGGTCGGATGACTTCAACTACACCAAAACGGGAATCCATTTCAGAAGCACCCAGTCCAGGGCCGAATCGTTACCGGAAGTGACTATAAAAGGTCTGCGTCCCTATCAAGGCCACGCCTCTAAAACGATACCGGTAGGCGACAGACTTCCCCATTTCCGGCCCCAGGAGTCTTAGCCAGTAGCCCCCTCTGCTGCTTTTCCATTGGCTGCCGCAGGGACGCGCTGTGATTTCCCATTGGTCGCGTCTCCTCTCCTGCGCCGCACCGCCTCCCTCCAGGTAGCGTCTCGTTTTCCCGCACCGGATAAGCTGAAGGCTGGGAGGGCGTCTGCCTTACTTGACCAATGAATGATTTGAAGCGTGAGGGCAGCAGCTGCGCGGTGGGGGCGGGGCGGGACTTCTCATGGCTATTGGCCAGGGCGCGCACAGGTCAGCGATACGATTGGTTGGGGAGCAGGGCACCGCGGTGGGGTCGGAGCTGCGCGCTCTCAGCAGCAGCGGGAGACGGAAGTGGTGAGAGCGCGGCCTCGGAGGGTCGGGCGGACGCCGCCTGGGTGAGTCACCGTGCCCCGTGCACTGCCAGTCTGGAAACAGAGCAACGACCGCGTCTAGCCGGGCCCCGCCCCGGCCCCCACTGGCTTTTCTGAGCCCCGCCCTCTGTCATTCGGGGCTCCGCCTCTGAGTTTATGTAGGCTCCACCCCTGAAACCTGGGCACCTGGGCTACCCTGCCAGTCTGGCCCGTCCCCCGGGGCCAGATCACATAGGTATGGGAATCCTGGGTCTGGTCGTTGTCCCTCCTTGCTTCCATCTGTCTCCCTGAGGCTGCGTATCAGTAGGCGGTGAGGCAGCACCTCTGGTTTGCCGCTTTCAAGGAAGGGTGGGCTGGGGAAGAATCTCCTGTGATCAGGGAGGAGGGCAGGGCTACAGATGGAGGCTTTTATCCCACCGTCTCCCGCGGTGCTCAGCCGCACTGCTCTTGAAGGAAAAGTTTGGTGAAACCTGGGCCTGGCTCCGCAAGTGGGCCTTGGAGCCGGAAATCTGTTGCCTCGGCCCATTTGACAGGTGCTGACGCCGAGGCCTGATTGCCCCCTTTGGTTAAATGTGTAGCTTCCCAGTAACCTCCACTGTACTGTGCTTGGGGTTGTGAACACTCAGCAGGACCTGTCTAGCCCTTTTGCCCTCTGGTAGCAAGTTGTGGTCACCTCCCTCCTGTCCTTTACTCTGGACTCTGCCCCCCAGTAAATAGGTCAGGTGGTGCTACTCCCAGACTCTCAGACTGGCAGAGCCTTCCTGTGATTCATGTTCTAGTCAGGGCCAGCAGTTGAGTGAGTGCCGGTTGAGTAGCCACTGCCTCTTCAGACTTGACAGCTTTTTTTTTTTTTGGCTCTCTTGCAAAGCTCAGGGTTTGAAGTTTTTTACTTCCCCTTCTGGGTTTGTGAATGAGGACTCATTTCTGCTGATTGATTTTGGATAACACTTATTCTTGGTGTAGAACTTAGTGGCTGACTTCATGCCCTTCAGAATCACTTGTTGCTTTCTCTCCTTGTAGCTTCCATGCATGATGACTCAGGAGAGGCTGGATTCTCTGTGAAGAAAGAGAATATGCGTTAGAGAGATGCTCAGGGCTAGGTGTGTGGCATTTGTTGGTTAATGGTGCTCTTTACTCACAATCTATCTCCTTACAGTGAGAAGCAGGCAGCCAAGACTCTCACCAAGGTAGAATGGTGAGTACTTCCTCTTTTCTCGGACCATTTTTATTATTTTTTCTGCTTTTTACTGTAGCCCTTGTGAAGTTGTCCCATCCCTCTTTGGGCCTTAAACTCTGGGTTATTCTGTTCAGCTCCTAAATAGGTTCATTGGTCCTATAGATAAATTAGAATTTCTTTAAATTGCAAAATACCAACCACTGCACTGTATTGGAGAAGGAAAATTCTAGAAGTCTTTCTGCATGTGCTATGTCATGCCTTCCCCACACTACGTATCTCTTGCTTTTCTTGGATCCCTCATAGAATCTCTGTGTCCTGTTCTGAAAAACCAGAACAGGCTCCTGTTGGTGCTATTTAGGGAATAATTCCATTAAAACTCGGGGGCTCTCCCGTTCCAAGGTGCTGCTGTCTGGGAAGCCACTGTGTGCCCGGCCATAACCGATTGGATATTTAGCAGACTGTATCCTGAAGGTGGCCAAAATTTCACTAGGACTGTTTATAATGATCCCATATATTTTCCATGAACTGTAACTGCCCATATGTCACTCATGTGTTTAAAGAGGCTTGAGAGAGAAGGAAGCAGTGAGATGAGAAGGGAGCAGAGAGCTGTAAGCTCTCACCTAGACCAGACACTTGCTGTGGCTGCAGCTCTCCCATTTCTGTGGGGTACACCCTCACATTATTGTGGGTTTATTTGTTTGCTTATTTCACATACATCCAGAGAGCATTCTATCCGGTGCCAGACACTGTTCTCAGCATTAGGGATATAGCAGAAGAGAAACAGACCATTGCCCTCCTCCCCTTATATTCTAGTGGCAAGATGACAACAGTAAACATTAAGTAAGGGGCTTGGTTCGTGAAAGGACTGCCTCCTCTCTTCCACTCCTTCCCTCTCACAGATATGTAGGTGTGTAGAGTATGCAGCATTGGGTTGGTCTCTTCTCAGTCTGCTAAGATCCTGGCTCCCATCAATTGTGGATATCACCTCTGCATTTTCTTTTCTATGATATGCGGATAAAAGCCGTTAAGCTAATCTAAATTCATTTCCTAGCATTGCCACATAAATGTTTTAGGCAAACTGCAGACTTCTCTTGAAACCTGATATATCTCACTAATAAAAATGCTTACTTTTGTTTGTTGCTTATTAGAGACCTGAAAGGTTTTAATAAGATAATATTTGAAAATTGCATGAATCATAGTTGTTGTTAAGTGCCATTGAGTCAGCTCTGTCTCACAGTGACCCTGTATAGCGTTTCCAAGGAGCAGGTGGTAGGTTTGAACTGCCAACCTTGCGGTTAGCAGTCCAGTGCTTATCCTACAGCACCACAGCAGGACTCTGTGGCTTGTAGTAGACGTTTAATAAAAGGTCAGATTTCTCTCATTCCTTTCCCCCTCCTAAAAGCAAAAACAAAGCAAGAGCCCTGGTTTCTGAAAGTTGACAGACACAGGGATGAATTTGGGGGTCCCAGCCAGTTCTTTCTATGACCTTTGGTGTAATTCTGAGCCCCTTAATGGCTGCTTCTTACTCCCTGGCCTTCTCCTCCGCTCCCCCCACTCTCATCCTTGGGTTTCCATTGTTGTTTTTGTTTAGCTACATTGTACATTGTACCAGTTTAAGAAATTCTTTCTCCTTCAAGAAGGACTTTTTTACCCAGAGGTCAGAAGATGTGATCTAAAGGAGAAGGGTTGGGTGTTGGAATAAAAACTCAAGAGAGGCCTTCCCTTTCATGAGTGTGGACATGTGTGTCCATTCTAAGGAGCAAGTGGAGGGATGGTGAATGGTGTGTGTGATTGCCGGACTCTGGTGGTGGGGGGTTTGGAGGGCAAGTTAGAAGTGGTGAGACTGGAAAGTATAAGGGGTGGAGGAAGGGCAGCTTCTTCTGAGCAGGCGAGCAGGAGTTTGGGGGAACGAAGGCGAGGGCGTGGGATGATTCACCTGGGAAATTAGGAAATGAAACGACGTGGGCTGCAAGCACTGGCTTCAGAAAGCCCCTAGGTAGCCCTGGGGGAACTCTTCCCCTGTGGCTGAGGGGCTTCTGCAAGGAGGAGCCTGGGGCTTTTGGAGGGAGGAGCCGCCCCGCCCCTGCCTCCGCCTTCCCCGCGCCATCTCGGTGCTCAGCTTGCCTTCCTCCTCTCTTGCGCTCCAACCGGAGGGCGGAGCTGGGCCCGCTCCATTGTGGACAGGAGGGGAGAGGCGCGCGGGAGCCGCGCTGAGGCCCCGCCGCCAGCGTGCTCGCCTCCTGGCCGCCGCGGCTGCACCTGGCGGGCCCCGCAGCAGGGATGCGGCGGGCGCCCTGGGCTGGCGGGCAGCGCAGCGGCTCCGGGGACATGTGCGCTGGCCCAGACCGCCCGCGACCATGAGCCTGACCGCCCGCGTCTCCTGCTCCATGCTCAGCTGTTTCGTAAGTGTTAGCCCCGCCTGTAGGGGCCCTTGGTCCCCTTCGCTTGCTGCATCCGCACCCCTTCCCAGGGCCAGCCCTGGAGATTTCAAATTCCAGCCCATCCCCCCTCCCAAGGTTCCTAGCTGGGCCACCCAACCTTTGGGGCAGGGGAGGAGGGCTAACTCCTCTTTCTTGCACTTGCTTTAATCTTTGGGTGCTGGGAATTGTCGAACCGGCGGGTAGAGATTCCGTGGACCATCTTGGCCCGGTAGCCACTGCCCTTGACTGCAGATTTCCAGGCTCCGCCCTGCAGGAGTACATCCTTTCCCTCCGCCCTTCCATCTTGGTCCCACCCGCTGCATCCTTGCTTGGGATGTGTGATGTGGCTAGCAGGCGGTCTGTGATATTAGGGGTCCGCTTGGGAACATGGGTTGTCTGAGAATTGTCTCCCCAGGCTCCAATTTCCTGCCCCTTCCACCACTCCATCCCTCACCTGACTCGCCAGTTGTTTCTCCTTGACTGTCTCCTAGATAGTCTCTTTTCTCCATCTTCCTTGCCTCTGCAGGGCTCCGTACCTCTGCATCATTCTCGGCCCTTCCCTCCTCCTCCTCTGGCTAACACTCCTTTCCAGCTTTCTCTGTCTGCCCTCCCTGCCTCCCCCCCCCCCCCCCCCCTTCTGTCTTCTGACTGTCCTTGGGTCTCCCGGTTCCTCCCAGGTGGTGGATGTCCCTTCTCCCCTCCCTGGTTGGTTGAAAGGGGAGTGACTTCTGGCTTTGAGTCTTCCTCAGGAATTCCTCGGAGATCAGCAGGCGGGGCAGGTTGTATGGGAGGGGGCTTGGTAGCAGTGTGGTCCTAACAGGAAGATAAGCAGGAATCCAAAACACATCCTCCTGAAACACCTTTGAAAGCATCCATCAAGGCCCTCTAGAGGCACAGGACTGAATCCCCCCACCCCCTCCTTTTGTCTTACTCACCCACCAGATTGAAGGCAGTGGCAGTGTGGTCTTAGGTGCCTGATTTCTCGCCTCTCTTTATAGCCATCTGCTACTCCTGGTTCTCCTTCCTCAGGACAACTCTTTCCTATCCTCTTTACAGTATTTCTTCTTTTCCATAGTATTCTCTCCTCCATTTTGGAAATTTTGATTCAACAGGAGACACCTTCTATAATGAATGCAGATTCCTAATTTCTCCTTAGTCCTCAGTCTCCCTTAGGCTTAATAGGATTGCCACCCCACCCCACCCCACCCCAATTTTGCCCCTGCCCTACATCCAAGCTGGGTTTCTTCCGTACTCTGGTGATTAGAACCTATAAATGTATGTCTGGTATGTGTGTATGGGGGTACATATTGGTTGGAGTGTGGAGCAGAAGTAGACCTGAAGAGCCAAGTGGAGTCTGGCAACGTAAGGCTCTGTCTTTTCTCACAGGGTGAGGAGGGGCCTCCCAGCCTGGAGTATATCCAAGCCAAGGATCTCTTCCCCCCCAAGGAACTAGTGAAGGAGGAGGAAAATCTGCAGGTAAGAAGTAGTTGGGTGGGGCTCCCTGCTCAGTTACAACACACCTTTTCTCTGTAAAAAAGTCCCAGGGGATCTAGTGCTAGGAGCTCAGGCTTCCTGCTCTCTGGCCTTGAGGGAGGGGATTCTGTGTATCTGTGCCTTTGACCCCAGGGAAGGAAAGGCAGCTTTTCTGTACAGCTGTTGCTTGGTGCTGTTACCTTGGAGAACTTTTCCAGAGGGGATTGCACAGAGTCAGGATGAGGAGGAGGAGGGCGACTTTCTATTGGACTAAGAATTCCTCTGTCCCTCGATCTTCAGGTGCCTTTCACAGTGCTGCAGGGTGAGGGAGTGGAGTTTCTGGGCCGGGCAGCTGATGCCCTCATTGCCATCTCCAACTATCGGCTGCATATCAAGTTCAAGGACTCTGTCATCAACGTGAGTTCCCATCCTGTTCCCTAAAACCTAAGACAGAATCCCTGTGAGGTTCCAGGTGGGAGTGCTCCAAGGCCTTATCTGATTATGTCTCCAAAATGGGGGCTGGCTATCCTTTCTTCACTCTCAGACCTCCTTGTTTTCCTGCCTCATCCTCCTAACTGTAGAGCTGATGTCTTTTGCTTATTTCCCCTTCCCATCTTCCCTTACTCTGTCACTGACTCTTCTTTTTAAGGTGTATTGTTACATTGTTGGAAGAGCACAGACTTTAGAAGCAAGCAAACTTGGGTTTTTTTTCTGCACTGTCACCAGATGTGTGACCATGGTCAAGTCACCTGAGACCATAATTGGGTGGAGGGGTGGGGGAGGGGAAGAACATTGGCCTTGCCGAATTATGGTGACTGTTGAGTAGGGTCCCAGGCCTAGAGGAGCCAGCCTAGTTCCCAGGCCTTTCACAGGCCTTCACTAAGGGTTGGTTTCCTTCTTGCTGTTGCTGCATCAATACCCAGACTGGGTAGGGGGTGAGTGAAGTGGAAGAGTGCAGAGCTGCGCTTCAGTTTGCCCTTCTTCCAAAGGTTCCCCTCCGGATGATTGACAGTGTGGAGAGTCGTGATATGTTCCAGTTGCATATTTCCTGCAAGGACTCCAAAGTGGTGAGGTGAGAACAACAGGGTCTCACGCGGGCCCTTCAGCCCCAGTCTTGTCCAGACCTCACTGTTGTTGGGGGTTATCTGGAGCAAGGAAGGAAACAAAACAACACTACCTCACTTTCTCCATTTGGAGGAATGGGTGAAAACCTGTTCTGGGTTGGGAACTCAGATTAATGATCTGCTGTGTCTTTACCTGCAAAACTGGTGATAATGCCTCTCTCCTGTAGTCATCATAAAGAGAAGGTGTATGAGAGCACCTAGGGCCAGACCTGACAGCGCTCACCCTATTGTCGGTTCATTTGTTTGCTCATTTAATGTATATCCAGTTAGCATCCTATCCTGTGCCAGACACTGTTCTCAGCACTAGGGATATAGCAGGAGAGAAACAGATCCTCACTCCCTCCACCCCTTATGTTCTAGTGGCAAGATGACAACTGTAAACAGTAAGTAAAATGTCTTAAGTCATGATAAGTGTAACGGGATGAATAAAGCAGGGGATGGGGATGAAAGTGGTAAGTTTAAACAGAATGCTGAGAGAAGTCCTCACTGAAAAGGTGACATTTGAGTCAAGATCTGAATAAAGTGACCATGTAGGTATTTGGGGGACAAGTGTGCCAGAGAGAACAGCAAATGCAAAGGCCTGTATCAGGCATATTAGAAGCATGGAAAGGAGGCAAGTGTGGCTGGTGAAGAGTGAAAGTGGCTAATGATAGTGGGGTATACAATCCGAGAGGTGAGAAAGTGTCCAGTCGTGGAGGTTCCAACAGTTTATCCTCATGACTGGTTCATTCTTTCATGGAAATGTGAAGCTACTGGAAAGTTTTGATTCATGTCTACATAGAATCACTCTGGCTGCTTAGTTGAGAATAGAGCGAAGGGGGTAAGACCATAAGTAAAGGGAGATGCTGGGAGACTAAGAAGTACGTCATTCCTCAGGAATGAGAGCGTGGTAGCCTGTCAGGGAAGGTAGCAGTTGAAATGGTGACAAAACAGTCACAGATTCTGGATGTATATTTCAAAAGATAATGACTCTGAGAGAAAGGGTGTCTAGGATGACTCCAAAGCTTATTAAAAGGATGCCTGTTTCAGAACTGACTTTGTGCTCATCAAGGATCCCTGGTGGTGTAATGGTTAAAGCACTCAGCAGCTAACCCAGTGGTTGGTGGCTCAATCCCGTCAACCACTCTGTAGGAGTGTAAGTCTGCGTCCGTAAAGATTGACAGCCTTGGAAACCCTTTAAGGGTGCTATGAGTCCTAATTGACTTGACAGCAGTGTTGTTTGGTAGATGTGCTCAACATAGTAGCCTTGTGAGGGTTTCCAAAGAAGAATCCACATTGCCCTTCTCCTCAAGGAGGTTAAAGTTAAGTTGCTGAAAGAAGATTTAACTTATGGGCAGTATGCCATGAAAAAACTTAATGCTGAATAAGGATCAAGCGAGAAAGGGGAATCTAGGGTAGAGGCTGAGAAGGCTTCAAGCAAGGGTAGAAAAGGAGCTGCCTTCAGAGTGTTGAAAGGAGGTGACTAGACAAACAGATGGAGTCCTGATATGGCACTGTGGGATAAGCTCTGGACTACTAACTGCAATCACCAGCTTTTGTGGTTGATTCATAAATTTGAATAATAGGGTATTAACTGTTCTTCTTTGTAGACGTATGGGTATTATCCTCTCACAGACAGCGTTGTACTTCATGACAGATCTTGGATATGTTCTTTTTGATGATGACTGTGATGCCATTCCTCTTCAGTTTGTCATTCCCCGCATAGTAAACCGTGTGATTGTGATTCACAATGGCCAATTCAGTCCATTTCAGCTCACTAATGCCTAGTATATAGATGTTTATGTGTTCCATTTCTTTTTTTGTGTGAATTATGTGATAGTTTACATGGGAAAATATTAGCTTTACATTCATCCTACTGTGTATCGTTTCATTGCCATGATTACAATCCCCTCCTTGCATCATCAAACAACCAAAGGGTATACCCTGCAAGCCTGCCCCCTGGTCGTCAGCACACAGCCCTTCTCCGTCTCTGGGTCTAGAGTCCCCAGCCGCTCCATCTTTCCATGTCATTGTTTCTGCCTCCATCTCTGGCATCACTGTTTCTCTGGGTAGGGTCCCACGCTCTGCTCTTGTCCCTTGATGGTCCCAGGGGCCTCCACTCCTGTACTGTAAAGTCAACCACTCCCTCCTTTTGCTACAAAACATCAACCTTTACATTTCCAACCGTCACAGTCAGCCCTGATAGTAGTTATTCACTGCTGTACCATAAGAGTTCTATCCCCATCTCCTTTCATCAGCCCCGCCCAGACTGATTGGATACTGCTCAGTTGGAGAATTCTACCTTCCTCCGCACCCTCTGGATCTAGGCTCCCTCTTGAAAGCTTGTAAGCCCCACCCCATTTTAGGCAGCCAGTGTCCAAGTTGCCCATCCCTGTCTACACTGTGTACCGAGGGGGTGGGAATGATCCTTGCTGTAAAGATTTGTTCCCTCTTTTGAGCTACTGCATCCATAGGTGTGTAGGTCCAGTTCATCAAATTGTAGCAGATTACTCTTTTTTTTTCCTCTTCTTTCTTCTAGTCGAGTTCTGATCATCCAGTCATTGAAGACAGGTCAAGTGGGTATTATCCATTTCATTTTTGACAATTTCTAATTTTCCTAGATTCATACTTTGTATATTCCATTTTTAATATTCAACTATTAATGGATATTTATAATTAGTCTCCTTCTCTTCATTTTGAGTTGTGCCCCATTAGCAAATGAAGGTCCTGAGGACTTCATTCCATTCGCGTCATCACGGTCATCTCTAATTTGAGGAGGCAGCTCTTCCCCACTCATATTTTGATTGCCTTCCAACCTGAGGGGTTCATCTTCTGTCACTGTATCTGATAGTATTCTGTTGCTGACAGTGTCCACTGCTATTCATGAGGTTTTCAGTGACTAAATATTGGAAGTAGTCCGTTTCTCCTTCTTCCTAGTCTGTCTTCATCTGGAAGCTGAAACCTGTCATGGGTGACCCTGCTGGTATTTAAAATACCCATGGCATAGCTTCCAGAATCACAGCAATACACAAGCCACCACAGTATAACAAACTGACAGATGAAGAGGATTTAAAATACATTTGGATAAAGATCAAAGACCACCACCTTTGGTGTGGGTTACATCTTAATGTAAAGAAAACAAAAATCCTCACCACTGAACCAATAAATAACATCCATATAAATGGAGAAAAGGTTGAAGTTATCAAAGACTTCATTTCATTTTGCTTGGATCAGCCATCAATATTCATGGAAGCAGCAATCAAGAAATCAAACGATGTTTTGCATTAGGCACATCTGCTCCACAAAACCTTTTAAAGTGTTAAAGAGCAAAGATGTCAGTATGAGGACTAAGGTGCGCCTGACCAAAGCCGTATTATTTTCAGTAACCTCATATGCATGCAAAAGTTGGACGGTGAATAAGGAAGACCATAGAAGAATTGATGCATTTGAGTTATGGTGTTGGAGGAGAATATTGAAAGTATCGTGGACTGCCAAAAGAACCAACAGATCTGTGCTGGAAGAAGTACAGCCAGAATGCTCCTTGGAAGTCAGGATGGCCAGATTTTTGTCTCGTACTTTGTATATATTATCAGGAGGGATCAGTCCCTGGAGAAGGATATCACATTTTATAGAGTGGAGGGTCAGAGAAAAAGAAGAAGATCCCTAATGAGATAGATTGGCACAGTGGCAGCAGCAACGGGCTCAAGTGTAACAAGGATTGTGAGGTTGGCCCAGGACGGCAGTGTTTCATTCTGTTGTTTATAAAGTCGCTACAAGTTGGTGCCGACTCAATGGCAACTAACAGCAGCAACTAGTCACCAGGTTGTTCTTCAGAGACCCTGTCCAGGGTGGCTGTGTGTGAGAACTAACTCAGTGGCACTTCCCAACAAGAACAGGGAGAGAGAGACAAAACAAGGAGACAGGAAGAAGATAGTGTGATGTGAGTGAGGCCTTCCTGAAGCAGAGGTTTGTGTAGGGGAGTCATGGGAGATAACACTGGTCTGGTAGATACAAAGGATTCAGATGCTTAGCCAGGTGGTAGCATTTAGATATACTATGCTCCATTAGAGGGAATAAGTATTTCTCAAAAACAGGAGGTTCTGGGAAGAGAATTTGTTACATGAAACAATTTTTCTTGGGTCTTGGGCACTCATCCTGGTTCCCTGGTGACCCACGCCTCTCCTCCCTGATTTGCCTTCCTGTGCTGTGTTTCTGACTTATTTTGTCCCCTATAACACAACCACTCCTGGCCTCACCCAGAACTGTGGCTTCTTGCTTGGCAGGTGTCACTTCTCAACTTTCAAGCAGTGCCAAGAGTGGCTCTCGAGGCTAAGCCGGGCCACAGTAAGACCTGCTAAGCCCGAGGACCTCTTTGCCTTTGCCTACCACGCCTGGTGCCTGGGACTGACTGAGGAGGACCAACATACCCATCTGTGTCAGCCAGGTGAGACCTGGCCATTCTCTTTGGTTCTCATTCTCCTGCCACCTCTACACCTGGCTCTCTTGGAAGTTGACAGGAGTGAATGGGGGGCTGTGTTGCAGGAGAGCACATACGATGTCGACAGGAGGCAGAGCTTGCAAGAATGGGCTTTGACCTGCAGAATGTCTGGAGAATCTCACACATCAACAGCAATTATAAGTAAGAGGGCAAGGAGTAGGGAACCAAATCCAAGCTGCCACCATGTACAGATAAAGCATGTTGGGCCAGGCTCCTGGGTCTGTGAGGGAGGAGAGCTTCCTGTCTTTTCCCCAAAAGCCATCCATTGGTGGCTTATCATCAGATGTTTCAGACCCACTTGGTTTCTTCTCAGATTGTGCCCCAGCTACCCCCAGAAGCTGCTGGTTCCTGTGTGGATCACAGATAAAGAGTTGGAGAATGTGGCTTCCTTCCGTTCCTGGAAGCGGATCCCCGTGGTTGTGTATAGGTGAGGCAGTGGGATGGGAAGTAGGGAGGCTGTTTCTTAAGGATTAAGGAAAGAGTCAAAAGAGGAAGTTTTCAGCATTCTGATTGGCTGGGAACTAACTGTGTGGGGATGGCTTTGAAATAATTTAAAAACATAAACTGCTTTAGGTATTTTCTCCCTAAGGATGAGGCTTTTGGGGGAGTTTATTCACTTTCTCTCTATCTGAGGATGTGTGTGTGCATGTATAATATTGCCTTAGAACAGCGGTTAATAAACTGTATGGATGGACCAGGGACCAAATCTGGTTTACAGCCTGTTTATATATGTTCTGTGAACTATGAATGTTTTTTTTTTTTGTTTGTTTTGTTTTTTAAATATTTTACTGTGTTTCAGTGAAAGTTTACAGAGCAGCAAGTTAGGTTCCAATTTCCACTTACTACATATATTGTTTAGAGTCCTGGTGTGGCGCTGTGGAATAAAGTTCTAGACTACAAGGTCAGTTTGAACCATAAGATTTGTGGTTCAAACTCACCAGCCTCTCCTAGGAAATCCTATACAGGGTCATTATGAGTCAACCAACGTGTCGACACTTAACAACAACAATAAAATACTGTTCAGAGACATTGATTACGTCTTCCATACTGCTTTAACATTCCCATTATTTCCCTTCTGGATGGTTTGTTTCCAGTCATCTGGCTTCTCTATTCCCTTACCTTCTCATGTTTTCTTTGAAGTTACTGTGTTGACCATTTGGTCTCAGATGATTTTTTAAAGGTATACAATACTCAAAGCCAATCTGTTACTTAGCTGAGAAATGTTTTCACTTGATCTTTGGCTTATGGAATATCTCAAGGCAGTAATTTCAAGGAGTCTTCGGGTCTCAGTTGGTCCTGTGAGTCTGGAATTTTTTTTGGTACAGTAATATATTTATTTAAATTGCTGTGCTAAATTATAATTTTTTGAAATGATTAATATTTAACATTTTACTTCCTTATTTATTAAAAACAAAACAAAGGCAACTTTGAGGACTTAGGTGTGCCTGACTCAAGCCATGGTATTTTCCATAGCCTCATTTTTATATGAAAGATGGCCAGTGAATAAGCAAGACCATAGAAGAATCAATAGATCTGAATTATTGTGCTGGCAAAGAGTATCCAAAGCACTGCGGACTGCTAGAAGTACAAGTAAATTTTTATTGGTAAACATAGAGCCAGAATGCTCCTTAGAAGCAAGGATTGTTATTGTTGTTAGGTTCTGTCAAGTTGATTGAGTTTGGAATTTTTAAGAATTTTAGTTCTGTTCCATATTTTTCTCCCCTTCTAACAGGATCCATCTATGTGGTCCTGGTCAGAACGGTCAGTACCGGTAGCTGGGCACCATCTAGCTTTTCTGGTTTCAGGGTAGATGCAGCCACGGTTTGTGTAGGCTCTTCTGTAGACTAGTTTCTTATTTGAGTGTTTGGTTCCGGCTTGAGCTGTGAATGGCTGTATATTTTCAGAGTTATGAAAACAAAAGCCAAAGATGAGTATATGACAAAGACTGGATGTAGCCCACAAAAATTTACTAAAAATTTTGCTGTCTGGTTCTTTACTGAAGAAGTGTGCTGCCCCCTGGAGCTAAAATAGAGTGAGACAGGCAGTGCGTTTGGCCTTGCATCTGCTCTTGGCTCAGACCCCGTTCTCCTGCTGGGTGTCTGGCGCTGGAGCAGGTGCTGTGCAGGCTCATCAAGTCAAGGTTACCTTGGGACCACAGAGCACGTTTGAGAAAATGTGTGTGATAGCATTTTCTAAACGTGAGAGCTTTCTAGAGATGTTAAGGGCTTTTGATTGTCATTATCATGGCCTGGAGGGACTGGTAGCCCCTGCTGGCTCTGGAGACTATGGTTGGACCCCTAAGGTCTCTGCAGTAGGCCAGTGGGGGCTGTGAATGTCAAGGGGTTGATGATTTCCCCTGTTTTGTCAGACATCTGCGCAATGGGGCTGCCATTGCCCGCTGCAGCCAGCCCGAGATCAGCTGGTGGGGCTGGCGCAACGCTGATGATGAGTACCTGGTCACATCTATTGCCAAAGCCTGTGCCCTGGACCCCGGGATGAAGGCCACGGGGTGCTCCTCCAGCACTGGGACGAGTGATGCGAGTGAGGCGTGTGACACTGACTTTGGTAAGGTGTGGATGGTGCTGGTCCAGGCCTTGGTTCCCAGGAGTCTCTGTGAGGAAGTGGGGGGAAGGTTTGGTTCCTGGCCCTTCGGCAGGTTGTGGATCTCCAGTTCTGAGAGTGAGAACCACTGGGCTTACCGGGTCTTCTCCCTCTGTCTGTCTGTTTAGACTCCTCCCTGACAGCATGCAATGGGGTGGAGAGCACAACGGCTCCCCAGAAGCTGCTGATCCTGGATGCGCGCTCCTACACAGCAGCAGTGGCCAATCGGGCTAAGGGTGGAGGTTGTGAATGTGAAGGTATTACTGTCATCCCCATGCCTTGTGCTCTGGGTGGGGGACAGCTTGTGGCGTGGAAAGAGCCAGTCCTAGCTTGGAATCTGGACTCTTGACACTTACTAGCTATGAGTGTGCATTAATTGCTTAATGTGTTCTAGCTTTATGAGGGGGCTTCAAAAAGTTTGTGGAAAGACAATGGAATTTTTCCATAAACATTTTGAAACGCCTTCATATTTTCTTGTCTGTGAAATAGGAATAATACTTGCCTTCAAAATTGCTGGGATGATTAGAGATTGCACATATATGAGGCCCTGGTGGTTCTATGGGCTAAGTATCGGACTGATAACTGAAAGGCTGGCAGTTCAAACCCATGAGATGCTTCTAGGAGAAAGATGAGGCAGTCGTTTTCTGTATTTATAACCTCAGAAACCCCAGAGAGCAGTTAGGAGACAGGTGGTCCTGTAGGGTTGCTATGAGTCAGAATCCACTAACATGGGTACATATGAGGGGGCTTCAGAAAGTTTATGGAAAAATGGAATTGAAAGATAATGGAATTTTCCCACAAAATTTTTGAAGCCTTGTATGTATAAATATGTTCCTGTGTATGTGTGTATAAAACTGGTAGGTATATAGTATTAATTGAGAATTTACTGTATATTGTCATTATTAGTGGCACTATTACTATCACTTGTCATTAATATTATTACCACTACTACTGTTTGAAGGAGCTCTGGTAGTGTAGTGGTTATGTGTCAGGTTGTTGACCTCAAGGTCAGCAATTCGAAACTGCTAGCTTTCTGCAGAAGAAAGATGAGGCTTTCTGCTCCGGTAAAGATTACATTGGAAACTCTATACAGGGTCGCTATGAGTTGAAACTGACTCCAAGGTACACCACCACTACTATGTGAGTGGTGTAGTGAGTTATGTGTTGGACTGCGAACTGCAAGAGCAGCAGTTCAAATCTATGAGCCACTCTGGGGGAGAAACTGAGGCTTTCTGCTCCTGAAAATGTTGTTTACATTTATACAGGGTCACTGTGAGTCAGATCCAACTTGATGACACTTAGTAACATCTACCACTATTAGTACATGTCACTAGACCATCCAGAGATAACAGCGTGATTCAGATTTCAGGAGTCTACGTAGGTACCATAGGGAAGTCTTCTGCCCTGTAATGGAAGCTTTGCCCCCTGGGACTGCTCTTATCACGGATGCCTGTTTCTGGGACAGACTCTTATGCTCTGCTCACCTTTCTTCTGTATACAGAGTACTATCCCAACTGTGAAGTTGTGTTCATGGGCATGGCCAACATCCATGCCATCCGGAATAGCTTCCAGTACCTCCGTGCTGTGTGCAGCCAGATGCCAGACCCCAGCAAGTAAGTGTCCTCTGCTCTGACTGACTTCAGCCTCCCTATAGCATCCTCTCTTAGCACATGTTTTTAGAGGATGGACTGGGGAAACAGACAGGACATTTGGAGGTACAGAAGACCTGAAGGCTGGGCAGGTTTGGGTGTCATGGTTCAATCCCAATACTTCCTTCATTTCTCAGCAGTAACTTTGGTATAGACAGAGAACATTGGATTCCTTTTGTTTGCATCAGTTGTCCAACTCAAAGAACACAGAACTGGGAGAGAGAAAGTGGGTGAATGTGTATTTTAGTTGTCTCTTGCTGCTAAAACAGAAATATCTCAAAGGGATGGCTTTACCAGAAGTTTATTTTCTCACAGTTTAGTATGCTAAAAGCCCAAACTCAGGGCTCTAGTTCTAGGGGAAGTCTTTCTCTCTCTGTAACTCTGGGGTCCTTGTCATCAATCTTCTCCTGGGTGTAGATGTTTCCCATCATAGGGACCCTGAATCCAAAGAATATATTTCATTCCCTGCTTGGCTCTTCTTTCTTGGTAGCAGTAGGTCCCTCTGATGTCTGTTCTCTTTAATCCTTTTCATACTCCAAAAGAATTTGACTTAAGATACAACGTAATCTGCAGAGTGTAACTTGCCTCATTAACATCATAGAAGGTAGGCTGTGTAACACATAGGATAAGTAGATCACAAAATGGAGGATGTATCAGTCAAGTTGATACATCTTGCAGGGACACAGTTCAGTCCATAACAGTGGGTGTGCCCTTGTGCCCTTCTTATCTGTATGCTTCCCAGTTCCTCTCGTCCGCCTCAGAGGCCCTGTCTTTACTAACCTTTATGCTGGGTATCTCTTAGCACAAAAGCTGTGGGTTCTGTTTCTTAGCTTCAGCCCTCACCAGGGCCTCTGTTTGGTGCTGATGGCTGCGGGGTGGTAGAGAGACTGTTACAGTTACAGCGCCCTTCACAACAGACTTGCTTTCTGCTCCTGCGTAGCTGGCTGTCAGCCCTGGAGAGCACCAAATGGCTGCAGCACTTGTCGGTGATGCTCAAGGCAGCTGTGCTGGTGGCTAATACAGTGGACCGGGAAGGCCGTCCTGTGCTGGTCCACTGCTCAGATGGCTGGGATCGGACACCACAGATTGTAGCCCTGGCCAAATTACTACTGGACCCGTATTACAGGACATTGGAGGTATGTAGAAGGAGTGGGTGGGAAAAGCAGCAGGAATGATGGTACTGGTGGTGTGTTGGCCCCTCTGACTCTGCCATGGGGATCTTTCAGTCCTTCAGGTTAGATCACATCAGTGCTGTTCCTCTTTGTGGTTGCCAATTCTCTGCTTTGGGAAGTCTCCTGGGACATAGCACACCGGCCTTTCCAGAGAGGCCCAAGTCCAAGCCTTGGACTGTTTCTCCTTTGCAGGGCTTCCAAGTATTGGTGGAGTCTGACTGGCTGGATTTTGGGCACAAGTTTGGAGACCGCTGTGGCCACCAGGAGAATGCAGAGGATCAAAACGAACAATGTCCTGTGTTCCTCCAGTGGCTTGATTCTGTTCATCAGTTGCTCAAGCAGTTCCCCTGCCTGTTTGAGTTTAACGAAGCATTCCTGGTAAGTCCTAAAACCTGTGACCAGGGCAGTGGGGCATGTCGTCCTGAAGCCCCAAGGTGCAACCGTCTTGGCCTTCTAGGTAAAACTGGTTCAGCACACGTATTCCTGCCTCTACGGCACATTCCTGGCTAACAACCCCTGTGAGCGAGAGAAGCGGAACATCTACAAACGGACCTGCTCTGTGTGGGCTCTCCTGAGAGCTGGCAATAAGAACTTCCATAACTTCCTGTATACACCCAGCTCTGACATGGTAAGTCAAGCCCTGGAAACTGACAGTGAGGACATGCTGAGTCAGTGAGTGGCAGGAGGACCAAAGTCAGTCATAGAGGGCTGGGGAGCAAGAGGGACTGGGAACATCTCACAACACACTAGAACTGGCTGCTTCCCTAGGTCCTGCATCCTGTGTGTCACGTTCGAGCCCTGCACCTCTGGACAGCTGTTTATCTGCCAGCCTCATCTCCATGCACACTTGGGGAGGAAAATATGGATCTTTACCTTTCCCCAGTGACTCAGAGCCAGGAGTTCTCTGCCCGCTCTCTAGACAGGTAAGTGAAGCTCCTCCCCAGTCAGGATGACGGTAACTGCTTCGTATCTTACATAAATGGTATTCTCTTTCTTGTGGGGATATTTAGAAGCAACTTCCTGAATCAGTTGAAGGAGAAATTTGGCCTACATCTTGTCGCTAGTCTGGAGTACACTCTGTGTTTTCAAGGTCTCCCTTAAGATAAGATTGGTTGCCTTCTGTCCCAGAGCAGCTATCATACTATGTGACATACCCACGCACGGTGGAGGAGAATGAAATCAAATGTGGGGCTGGTCTGGACTTTCGTTCATTGATTGAAGCTTGCTATCTTAGTAGCAGCTTTACTATGGCCAGCATTTGTTTCCAGAATCATCGAACTCTCAGGGTTCTCAGAAGGGGTATGGCCTTCATGTTGCTACCCCAGAAAGAGGTCAGAATTTTAAAAAGACATATAAAAATTAAAATTATCTCCCGGCTTACTATTTATATAGAGTTATTTTGGGGAGAGTGAGAAGGTAATGAAGAATGTTTCTCACTAAAAATAAAAATGGTATGAAGTACTGCTGATAAAATAATAAAGGAGAACATGCAAGACCTTCCTTCTTAGCTCTAGTCCCCATAAGATGTCGACTGTTAACACTGTGGTACATATGCTTCCAGATGTTTATCTCCATGCAGATAAATATATCCACAAACTTAAAGAAACATTGTTTTAAAAACAAAAAAATGGAATCATATTTTACATACTGTTCTGAAAATGGTTTCTCCCACTTTGTATTATGCCTGTCATTTTATGACAGCTCTTGTTTTTTGTGTGTATGGTAAAATACATATAATGTAAAATTTTTTGTTTTAACATTTTCAAGTGTATAGTTCAGTGATGTGAATTACATTGTCAGTATTGTGCAACCATTACCACCATCTATTTCCAAACTTTATAACCCTAGACAGAAACTCTGTGTCTGTTAAGCAATAGCTCTCCCTCCCCTTCTCCCCCAAGACCTGGTAACTTCTGATCTACTTTCTATTTATTTTCCTATTCTGGCATCTTTAAGTGTGACCATACAATATTTTTCTTTTTGTATCTGACTTATTTCACTTAGTATAATGTTTTCAGGTTCACTCATGTGATAGCATGTATTAGAAATGAATTATTTTATAGCTGATTATTTCACTGTATGTAGATACTAGATTTTATATGTCCTTTTATCTGCTTATGGATACTTGGATTGTTTCTACCTTTTGGCTGTTGTGAATCACGGTGCAGTGAATATTGGTGTACAAGTATGCTTGTGTACCTGCTTTTAATTCTTTGGGGTACATACATAGGAGTGGAATTTTTGGGTCATGCCGTATTGTGTTTAATGGCTGCATGTTGTGAGATGCCATCGAGTTGGTTCCCACTCATGGCCACCTTGCTAATGTTTAACAGAGTGCGGCATTGCCTATGCTGTGCTCACAACCAACACCATGTTTGAGCCCATTTGTTGCAGCCACGGTATTAATCCATCTTGTCGAGAATCTTCCTCTTTTTCACTGACATTCTACTTTACCAAGTATGATGTCCTTCTCTAGGAACTTGTCCCTCCTGATACCAGATTCAGAGAACATGAGAAGTCTCACCATCTCGCTTCCCATGAGCATTCTACATAGCACTCTAAAGCTAGAGTAAATCATAGTCTTATGTAACCAGCTTCATATTGATTAGAGTGCTTTAGTGAACATCTTTTATATGTGTATCTTTGCATTTGTGTCAATATTTCTGTCATATTATTCTTAGAAATGAAAATGCTAGTTCAAAAGGTATGTACATTGCACATTTTGGTATTTGTTGACTAAAGACTTTTAAAATTAAAATATAAATTTAACACTATTGGCTAATGTTATAAAGAAAAAGACAAAACCTCACGCGTTTTAGGATCTTTTTAAGGGTCTTGGTGTGTGGCTCTGTAGGAAAAACACTGGACTACTAACCACAGGGTTTACAGTTCAAACCCAACAGCCACTCCTCTGAAACCCTAGACAGAGACAGAACTGACTTGATGGTACTTAATAACAGCAGGATCTTTTAATTTGGGTCCATTGTTAGGCCCCATGAATAAGCTTCAGGAGTCCTATGAGCCCCCTGTGCCATATAATTTAGGTATAGATTCCTGCACTTACTTCTCCGGGGAAAGGAACTATAACTTTGATCATAACCAATAGTGTATGACACAATTAATAATCATTGCTTTAAATCAGTTTTCTTTTTTAATTCAATAAATTTTTTTAAAATACCTATATGATGTCTAATAGCGTAGTGGTTATAAATCAGGCTGCTAACCTCAAGGTCAGCAGTTTGAAACTACCAGCCATTCCATGGGAGAAAGATGAGGCTTTCTGCTCCCAAAAGGATTTATAGCCTTGGAAACCCTACACAGGGTAGCTATGAGTCAGCACCGACTCCTCGGCACATTACCACTACCACTTGATGCCTAATCCTGCATTAGACTTTGTGACCAATTAAATAAAAGATGTTGGCCCTGCTTTCAGGTTACTTTAAGTTGGAAGATAAGGCACAGAAACAACCAAAGGACAATTCAGAGTCCGAATCTAAGCAAGTAGGAATAATTAGAGGAATGAGAAGTAATAAACGGATCGTTGGTGATGGTTTTACTCAGAGAAGTTTTCATGAAGTACCAAGCAGGAACCGTAGCTTTTATGCGTCCCTACTATGAGACTATGGCCTGACACACATTAAGTCCTTTGGGAAATGTTTAAATGTAACAACAAATGAACAGAAAAGCTGGGGAACAAGGTCATTGGCGAGAAGTCCTAAGGAATTGGATACATAACAGATAGAGAACCTGCTGGTGGGGTGGAATGGAACTATTTGGGGGAATTAAAAAAAAAAATTTAGGCCAGTTCTTCAAGAGATGATGAGCGTTCGCTATGATTCAGTAGTCAGGAATAAGTCATTCTAGGAAATCATTATGACCTGGTGACTGGATTTTTTGAGAACTAATTAGTGAGTCCTGGTGTGGCGCTGTGGGTTAATGCACCAGACTGCAAATCCGTTTGAACTGCAAGGTCGGCGGTTCAAGCTCACCAGCTGCTCCTTGGAAACCCTAGACAGGGTCACTATGAGTCGGAACCGACTCAATGGCATTTAGCAAGAACAACCATCAGTGAGAAGGGTGGTTTTTTGGACAGACAGCAACCAGCCAGGGATATAAGGGAAAGAATGAGGAAGACTAGAAGAATCGATGCATTTAAATTAATGGTGTTGGTGAAGACTATTGAATGAAAGTACCATGGACTGCTGAAGAACAAACAGTACTGCAGACTGTCTTGGAGGAAATGCAGTCACAAGGACTTTGTCTCTCCTGTTTTGGGACATGTTGTCAGGATGGGACCTGTCCCAGGAGAAGCACATCATGTCTGGTGAAGTATGGAGGGTCAGTGAAAAACAGGAAGATGTCCAGTGAGCTGGATTGAAACAGTGACAACAACAGTGAACTCAAACCTGACAGTTAGGCGTATGGTGTTGAACCACCAGGGTTTTACTCTCAATATGAGTTGGAACTGACTCAGTCGCACCAAACTTAAGATGGAGAATTGGAAGAACGAGTGGTATAAAAGTTTTTAGGGAATTAGCTTCTTAAAAAGCAGACCTGACTTAGCTCTGCTTCTACCTTTCCCAAAAGTACTGGTGTCTTTGCTTCACTCGTGGCCATTTTGGGTTAGTAGGTCTTGGATGGGTCCTGCTTGTCTTTTTATAGTTCATCTATAGGCACTCCTGATGTATACCAAATACTGAACCTCGCTGGTCCATGTAATTCAACCATGGAAGTGATTGAGAGTGCCCCAAGGAGATTATGTAGTGTGAGGACTAATAAAAGCTGAGGACAGAGTCCATCTTCTGCTTTTTATGATCATGGATTAGGATTCAGATATTTTTTGTTATTTTAAACGTGCTTGTTTCTTGTGAACGCTAGCTTTGATATTGCTCTGGTATCTGATTCTTTTTACTGGAGGTGGCTCCCATTTCCTGACTGAGGGATGTTGTGTTTGTCATTCCAGATTGCCTAAAACCAGATCCATGGATGACCTTCTTTCTGCCTGTGACACAAGCAGCCCCTTGACTCGCACGTCAAGTGACCCTAACCTGAATAACCACTGCCCGGAGGCCAGGGTAGGCCTGGAGCCCTGGCACAGCAATCCTGAAGAATCAGAGACAACCTTTGTGGAATGTGGGGCAGGAGGTCCTCAGCTGATTACAGGAGAAATGGGTCTTTCTCCTTCTGTGTCCAACAGCCAGAAAGACTACTTGAGCAATAAACCTTTCAAGAGCCACAAAGCCTATTCTCCGAGTTGTAAACTGCTCAGTACTGTAGTGCCCCAGGAAGTGAAGAGCGACACCGTTGACCGTGAGATCAAAGTCCTAGCAGAGACTGAAATGCCAGCTGCAGACCCTCCTGCCCAGGATGAGCTGAGTAGGACTTTAGTTGGCACAGGGGAGGAGCCGTCTGAACATTGTCTTGAAAAAGATGCTGTTACTGCACTCTCAAAGGCCACTTTCAACAAGTGTGATGGAATTTGTAATTTTCCTGAGTCTTCCCAGAACTCTCTTACAGGCACCCCTCAACAGACACAGCTAGACTCCATACTCAGTGTGCCCTCCACTTGTGCTTCAGATCCCAGTCTGAGTACCCTTTGCAACCCACTGAGTGCTACCTGCCAAACTCCATTAGACCCAAGTCCTGGCATCCTCAGCCAAGATCCCCCAGAGTCTGGGGCAAGTATCGTCCACCAGGAACTTCCTAGTTCTGTACCAGATATGATTCACGGGGAAGACACTGGCAAAAGAGGGACTAGTAGGAATGGGCCTCGCTTTGGGAAAATGCCATTGGAATTGGCCCGAAAGACAATTTCTCAGAGCCAGATCAGTGAGTTCTCTTTTCTAGGGTCCAACTGGGACAGCTTCCAAGGGATGGTGACTTCATTGCCGAGCGGGGAGACCACCCCTCGACGGCTGCTTTCCTATGGCTGTTGTAGTAAGCGGTCAGGCAGCAAGCAGATGCGGGCAACAGGTCCCTGCTTTGGGGGCCAATGGGCTCAGAGAGAAGGTGTGAAGTCACCTGTCTGCTCGAGTCATTCCAATGGACACTGTACTGGTCCAGGAGGCAAAAACCGGATGTGGTTTTCTGGTCACCCAAAGCAGGTCTCCAGTACAAAGCCTGTTCCACTGAACTGCCCTTCTCCAGTGCCTCCTCTCTACCTGGATGACGATGGGCTCCCCTTTCCTACGGATGTGATCCAGCACAGGTTACGGCAGATTGAAGCAGGCTACAAACAAGAGGTAGAGCAGCTACGTCGACAAGTCCGGGAGCTTCAGATGAGGCTAGATATCCGTCACTGCTGTGCTCCTCCAGCAGAGCCCCCCATGGACTATGAGGATGATTTTGTAAGTATTCGGTTCCTGCTGTCCATTCATTCTGTTCATCCAGCCTTCAGTGTCTTCACTGGGTGTCTACTCTGTGCCACTGAGAGATAGGTGCTTGAGCTACATACATGAGAGGCATAGTCCCTGTCCTCAGGTGATTCACAGTGTATTGAGAGAGGCAGTTAGAATGATGTTCTTAAATGTTAGATGGAGGGAGGCGAAATATTAGGTTGCTGGGGGCAGTGTTGGAGTGGGGAGAAAGGTCAGGAAAGACTTTGCTGAGAAGAGAGTGCTTGAGTGCTGAGGAATGTGTAGTGTGTACCTGAATGGTTGTTGAAAAGGAGATTACCACTGCGGACGCCTGGAGTTAGTAGGTACTGCAGTTGCATGATGACTTTTAAACCCAAGGTGGACGTGTGTGTACATTCACCCACAGTTATCCCAGGACCATCAGGAAGGGTAGCGTGTGGGGAGGTGATACTGGAGAAGTAAATAGTAATTGTTAGAGTCAGCTTTGAAGGGTCTTGGATATCCTTTTTGTTTAGATTTTACCCTCGTACAATAAAGTTTTTGAACAGAGAGAGTACATCATCAGATTTGTATCTTAAGAATATTACTCTAGCAATCATTTTCTCAAGTTGGCAAAGTGATTGAGACCCAGGTTGGGGGACTGATGAGGATGTTTTGGAATACTAGAGGTGACAAGGACCATCTGGGCTCTGTTGTGCTGGGCGGTCTCAGCTAGCCCCTGAGCCAGCTCTTCCCCACAATACGTAGTTATTCACAGCCTTTCCTGTGAAGGCACTTTCATTTTTGCCTATTGTCTATTTCTCTGGTTCCCTATTTTCAGTTGTATAGGTTTGTTTTACTTTGAACACTTCTATATCTGGACTGAATGAGCTCTGGTAGCATACTGGTTACGAGTCCGGCTGCTAATCTGTTGGTTAGCAGTTCGAAACTACCAGCAGTTCCTCAGGATAAAGATGAGGTTTTCTGCTCCTGTAAAAATTTAAAGCCTCAGAAGCCTTACACAGGGTCACTATGAGTTGGAACCAACTCCACGGCATACCACCACCACATCTGGATTGAATTCTGGGTGCTGTTACTGTATATGTCATTGCAGGTAAAGCCAACGGCCTAACAACTTCTTATCCAGGGCAATCATTTAGAACAGCGGTTGGCAAACATTTTTTGTATAGGGCCATGTAGTAAATCTTTTAGGTGTTGTGGACTATACAACTATTCAGTTTTGCTGTTTTCGAGCAAAAGCAGCTATAGACAATATGTGAATGAATAAGGGCAACTGCATCCCAATAAAGCTTGATATACAGAAACAGGCAGAGGGTCAGATTTAGTCCATAGGTGGCCATAGTTACTTACCTCTCATTTAAAGTGTAATGAGTGGGTGTTTTTTTCCACACAGTGTTATAGCATGTTGGTTAAAAGCATGGCTTTAAATCCAGAATACTAGATTTATATCCCAGCTTTACTACTTACCAGCTCTTAACCCTCTGTATGCCTTAGTTTCATTGTCTGTACAATATGGATAATAGCATACTTTATAGGATTCTTTTGAGGAATTGAATGAATTCATGCATGTAATGGAGTCCTGGTGTGGCATTGTGGGTTAATGCACCAGACTATAAAGCCGTTTGAACCGCAAGGTCAGTGGTTCAAGCTCACCAGCTGCTCCTCGGAAACCCTATACAGAGGTCGCTATGGGTTGGAATTGACTCGACAGCACTTAACAACAACACTTAGAACAGTACCTGACACGTTGTTGTGAATCAAGTGCCGCTGAGCCGTTTCCGACTTACAGCGACCCTGTATAAGGGTTTCCGAGGAGCAATTGGTAGGTTTGAATTGCCGACCTTGTGGTTTGGAGTCCAGTGCTTATCCTACAATGCCACACCAGGAGTCTATCCTGACACATAGTAGGCAGTAAGTGTCAGGGATGATGAAGAGCTGTAACGTCTTTGCCTTTACTTTAGACGTGTCTGAAGGAGTCAGATGGTAGTGATACAGAGGATTTTGGCTCTGATCACAGTGAAGACTGCCTTTCAGAAGCAAGCTGGGAACCTGTTGATAAGAAAGAAACTGAGGTATGTCCAGGAAAATAGGTGGTGGGTACTTAACGTAAGCCAGGGAGTTACCATATTTCTTAAGAGATGAGTGAGTGATGTAACTTGGCTCTCTGACAAATGAGTGTCTTTGGTGTAGGTTAGTGGTGGCCAGCTTTAAAGACAGGTCTTGTCATTTTCTCCTGGGATGCTTTCCTTGTTATAATGTTACTCTTGTATGATATTGACCAAGGACTTGGAATTTTTCCTTGTGCCTTCCATCAGGTGACTCGCTGGGTTCCAGATCATATGGCATCACATTGCTATAACTGTGACTGTGAATTCTGGTTGGCCAAACGAAGACACCATTGCAGGTAAGAAGATGTTTTGTATTAGTCAATATCGCTTATACAGCAATACAGTACATTCAAATACTTAGAAATAGTCTGAAGATAGAATACCTGCATAGGAAATACTGTTTTCTCTCTACTTTTTACTTCATTTACTCATGTAAGGCCTTTTACACTATCGTTTGTTTTTAGTATTTTGGCATCTCTGATGAACTCTTCCTTCTTTGTGCTTTGACAGAAATTGTGGGAATGTATTTTGTGCTGGATGCTGCCATCTGAAGTTGCCCATTCCTGATCAACAGCTCTACGACCCAGTTCTTGTCTGTAACTCATGTTACGAACACATCCAAGTATCTCGTGCCAGGGAACTCATGAGCCAACATCTGAAGAAACCCATTGCTACAGCTTCCAGCTGAATGCCAGAGGAGATGACATGTCCATTTTGAGCAGGTTTGAAGGGAGGATCTGCTTCAGGTGTAGTTATGAAGGTTCCTTGGTATGGCTCATGAAGTCACAGAGCTCAAAGATGCCGTCTTGAAAAGTCCTTCTTGGTACGATGAGACTGGAGCAGAGCAATTCCAACTTAGTAGGAGGTTCTTACCTTGGGGTAATGGTCTTGATCCAGACCCAGAATCTGGAAACTTAATGTTGAGTTGGTGACTCCAGCTTCTTTCTCGTGGGGCTCACAAGATGATGATTTCGTAGATACTTCCTGGTGCAAAGTGCCCCCAAAAGCAATAGAAAGGCCTCTGTATTACCAGACTCCAAGTGATAAGCAGACCCATCTCCCCTCCACCTTGAAAAAAAGCAGACTATAGTACATAAGAGAGGAACTTCTGTCCTACTTGAGATGAACTTTACCCTGCTCCTGTGTGCTCTGTGTCTGGGCATGAAGGCCCAGTCATTAGAGGCACTCCCTCTACTTGCATTAGTTCTGTCTTTCTGTGGAATTTGGTTTAAAGACTGGCTCAGCACTGGAGGTTTCAGTCTAGTTTTCCCATGGATGATTGGCCAGCTTCAGTGACTATTCGCTTTAATGGGACAGTTCTAGGGAGTAGGCATTTTGGGGAGAGAGGAAAACTGCTGATGTCCAGTCCTGGTGAAAATCAGTGACTTTGAGCTGTGAAGGCAGTAATCTCTTGTTACTCAGTGGCAGTTCTTGAGGTATGCACTGTGAAGAATGAGGAAAAGGGAAAAGCAAACTGGTCCTTGTGAAGTATCTGCTAAATTGTGCCCTACCCTTTGCACCAGACTTTTCCTAGTTGTCCTGGTGCTAACACAGGAGCTACACCTTGGTTCTCTCCTGGCATGAAAATAAAACTTTTCCCCCCTCCCCCCCCATCACCCACTTCCCCTGTGTTGTCTTTCCCTTGGCTGCTGCCTCCTCTGAGTCACACTGCTTCTTATCCTGAACACTTGACACCTTGAGGGTAGAATTTAGCGTTTGATTTTTACCTCCTGGAATATGCTGTTTGGTATGTGAGGGTTTCAGTACAAATGCTGCTGTCTATTTTTGTGCACTTAACAATGGAACCCAAACAGAAGAGAATAAAGCATTGATACCAAAATTGGGAAAGAAAATGTGTCCATTAGGACCAAACTTTTTTTTTTTTTCATCTTAATATGTACCAGTGGCACTTAACCAAAAGATACAGTTATATAGCCATGTTCTGTGGTTGGAACAGATACAGTCTCCTTGGCCTATAATGAAACCAGTAGGACTTCCTTTATACATTTTCTTTAATTTTTGTGTAGAAAAGGTAAATTACATCTAGGCTTAAAACTGTTTTAAAACTACAGTAGTCATCTAACTGCTACTTTCATGTTATTTTCTAGAAGAAAAAAAAAATTACTCATTCGAAAATAAACTAGGATCTGTATTTAGAACAAGAATTGCTATTTGTCCTGACCTTTCCTTAAGTCCCACAGAGAAGCATCTGTGCTTTTATACTTGCCATGGATGTAACCTAAAAAGTTTTGGTGTATTTAGGTCAGCCTAGCAGAACTTTTTTTTTTCTCGTTTTGATGGAGTTGAATAATGGAGATTTTTATGTCTGGGAAATTCCTGAGATCATTGAAAAAGTAACAGACTATTCCTTGTCTCTGAAACATAAAATTTGTCTCAGCATTCTCTTTCAATCATTCAAATTTACTGCCAGTCGTGAGTGGCTTTTTAATTAACTCGATTTTCATTACACTTCACTCTGCCCCTTTTTAGGTGGGGAGTAAGATTTGTAACATTGGAAACTGTATCTGTCTACCTTGTGTGGCTGTTTTGAGGGACTGTCCCACCAGTGAACAAACTGCATGGCCTTGGAGAGAGACTCTGGGCTTTTGGCTCAGATGTATTCATCAAATACTCCTTTCAGAGCTCTTGTGGGTGTAAGTGATATGATGTGGCCAAAAATCCAAACTGTGCAGTCGCGTTGTGACAAACATACAATGTGCTGTAAAAACTCAATACAAATTAAATAAAATCTCTATATTAGTGCTGCTTTGTTGGGTCTTTTTATTCATTTTAATTTCTAAGAAAAGTACTCATTTTTCCTTTGACCATGAGAAAGGACTAAAACATTTTATCTGCTTTCCTCCCAACAATCTCCTGGTTTATTTTTATGGACCCCTCTTTTTATCAGCTTTTGTTATATTCTTAGTAACTGGATAGTGATTGATCATTATACTGTAGATTTTTTTTCCCATCTCTTGTGCATTTTGCTTCTCTTTAGAGTCTAAAATTTCACCAGCTGGTTGAGCGAGCACACAGGACTACCTTACCTGTTTTCTCTTGGTTCTCTACTTAAAGGTGCAGCATTTCTCATATTGAGTGTCCAAAGTTAAGCAAATTGCCCAGAGCAAAATATTGATTTGAAAGAGTGTCTCTTTAAAGTATCTGTGTTAATGTTGTTGTTAAGTACCATGGAGTCATTTCCGACTCATTGTGACCCTGTACCGGGTTTCCAAGGCTATAAATCTTTACAGGAGCAGAAAGCCTCATCTTTCTCCTGCGGAACCGCTGGTAGTTTCGAACTGCTGAACTTGCGGTTCACAGCCTGATTCGTAACCACTACGCTACCAGAGCTCCTTATCTATGTTAATACCCAAGGTCAATTTGTTCGTTTATATCATTGTACCACAGCCCCATTCTTAATTGGAGAGACTTGAGCAGTAAACTGTTAGGCCAGTCGCTGGAGAAGGAGATCATGTTTGGGAGGGTGGAGGGTCAGAGAAAAAGAGATGGACTGGCAAAGTGGCAGCATCAGTGGGCTCAAGCGTGGCAACGATGGTGAGGTTGGCCCAGGATCAGGCAGTGTTTCGTTCTGCTGTGCATAAGGTAGCTATGAGTCGGTACCGACTCGATGGCACCTAACAACAACAAAGTGATAGAGTTAGGTAGGTTCTTTGTTATCAAGAATAACTTAGTTCATGTTGCCTAGCACATATCGGACTCCTGGTGTGGCGCTGTAAGAGCAGCACCAAACTGAACCACAAGGTCGGCAGTTCATATCCACCAGCAGCGTTTTGGAAACCTATACATGGTTGCTATGAGTCGAACGGACTCTATGACACTTAACAATAACAACATATATACGGAGTGTGATGCTGTAAGATAAGCACTGGACTGCTAACAACAAGGTTTGCAGTTCAAACCTACCCAACTGCTCATCAGAAACCCTATACAGGTTGGCTATCAGTTGGAACCCATTCCATGGTACAACAAGGTTTATGTTAAGTGCCGTTAAGTCGATTCCGACCCATGGGACCCTGATTAGGGTTGCCAAGGAGGAGCTGGTGCGCTTGAACCACCGACTTTGCAGTTCAAACGACTTTGCAGTCTAGCGCATTAGCTCACAGCGCCACACCAGGACTCCGAGAACATATATGTATACTTTATGAATTCTAGAAATATCCCCTATGCTAGTTGTGCTGAAATATGAGGTGGCTTCAAAAGATGCGTGAAAAAATTCCATTACTTTTTAATTCCATTTTTCCATCAACTTTGTGAAGCTCCCTCTTACACAAATTTTAGTCATCCACGGTGGGTAATTGGGCTTACTTGCAGAACTTTAATAAGAGTACATGTTGTTATTAAGCGACGTGTAGTGGGTTATGACTCTTAAGTGACCCTTTTAGGATTTCCAAAGAGCACCTGGTGGGTTCAAACCGTCTGCTGACCTGTGGCTAGGTGTCCACACCACATAGCGCCACACCAGAATTCCCAACCCCAAGACCTGCATCCCCTGGAAGAATGTGACTCCACCGTCCCCGTCCCACGTTGTTCCAGTGGGTGCCGTGGCCTGGCGGGGGCAGCCTGGACCCCGCAGGCCATCTGGGGCACTGGCTGCCCTGCCGCAGAGTGGGAGGGACGGCTTGTACCTCGTCCAGGCCGCGCGTCGAGAACTCGAGGCCCCATTGGCCCGGCTGGAAGGTGCGAAGGGGCTCGTGCGCCAACGGTTCCCTGGTCTGCGGGCGGCCAGGAGGGGGCAGGGCAAAGCGAAGGCCGGGGGTGGGGGGATCGAGAACGGGGTGGGAGAGCCAGGCTCGGTGGGGCGAGGCCCAGGGCCCCTGCAGGGGTGATGGAGGAGGCGCTGCTCTCCACCCCTATCAACCCCAATAACTTCCCTGCCAAGCTGTGGCGGTTGGTGAACAGCCCTCGTTACCGCTCTATCCGCTGGGACGGCCGCGGCGAGGGGTTGCTCATCGACCAGCCTCTCTTTGAGGCTGAGTTGTTGAGCCCGCCCGGGGCGGGAGCAGGCGGTACCACCGGGGGTGGTGGGACTGGTGGCGTCGGCACTGGGCCCGAGCCTGAGCTCTTCAAAACAACCAACTTCACCAGCTTCATCCGCCAGCTCAACCTCTATGGTTTCCGCAAGGTGGTGCTGGGAGGGCCTGGTGCGGCGGGACCTGGGCCCGGGCCTGGAGGCGGCGGGCCGGCGGGCGATGGGCCGCTCCACCACTTCCACAGCCCGCACTTCCGTCGCGACCAGCCACAGTTGCTGGTGCACCTCAAGAGGCTCACCAGCGCCAACAAGGCCAAGCTAGCAGCCGGCCTGGAGGTGCCCTGCCGCCCGCCCAACCGCTTCCAGAGGCTCCTCATCACGTCGGCCTCTGCCTCAGCTTCTACCTCCACTTCCCCGCTGCAGCACCAGGAGCCACCGCCCCCACCGTCTGCAGGGCCCCGGGCCGAGCCACACGGTGAGTCCCCTGCTGCCTGGGCCCTGCCGCCTGGGGCCACCTCCCAGCCCCCGTGGTAGGGCACATGGTGCCGAACCAGGAAGCATCTGACACTTGAAAGGGCCTGTTTCAAATATCCTCACCCTGGAGGTAGATGAAATTCACCGCGTCCAACATGTACTGTGTCCACTTTCCTCCAGGCTTCCCCATTTTGTGTCAAATCGCTTGACATCATTCTTACTAGAATCAGCTCTTG